ATAAAAGATGCTTCATAACCGCGTCAGTAAACAGCAAAAAACTCAAGAATCGTAAAGGAGTTGGCTATTAAAATTCACTTAGTATAACTGATGAGTGAAGTTAATTTGAATGGTTGTAAAAAATACATGTACGGTCGCTCTCTTTGTTATCTCAGATCATTGTGGAATGTGTTTTTTTTTTTTAATAAAAAATCATAACTCAAAATCTGCATGTTGTAGCCAGTAATTGTAGTAAGTTACCATACTTAGGTATTATACAAAATCAAAGAGGTTGGTATAATAATTTAAAGCCAAATTTCTCTGGCTTTTTTACATTTATAATCTTATTTCTACTGATTCTTTACAAACACTATAATTGTACTCTTAGTTTTCATACTTTTTAATTCATTTAATTATACATGTGTAAAATAGACATCGGTTTAACTACGGTCTATTAACCATGAATTAAATTCCAAATGTTACCCGATACGTATTTTTATCTCTATAAAAACGTAAAATCAGTTTGTGCTCATGTAATTACATTATTTCAGAGATTGTCAGGTTTATAATAAAGTGCGACATGTACGTTTTAAGTGCAGTTAATGTGTAAAAAGTAGAAACGTTCGCGGGCAGCCGTGCGTGCACCACGCACTACTTGGCATCGGAATTGCGACGTTGTGGATAGAAAGTAGGGAAACGGTTGCACATTTAAAACTAAAAATATTCAATATTAGTTATAACATATCGACAATAAAGTAGATGTTACTGAAATTAAGCTATTTCTTTATATTTAAAGCGAAAGCAAAACATAACTATGCACGCTGTTGATAATTCTGTGAAAAATCACAACAAAATCACACGTTAACTTTACATCACTTATCAAAATATTCTGTAGTGTTTAATTCGGTAGTATACTTATAACGAGTATTATATGATTGGCAGTTTGTTAGTGTGTTTAAAGGTGTTCAAAAGATTTTACGGTCTTTTATTGTACAAGCTTCCCAAATTTTTTTGTTCTTTTTCTCAAAACGCATCCAATCTTATATTAGTTTCGGCTGCAAAAAGTATAATGAAAATAAATAATTGAACAACAATAAGCACTTTATTTGATACTAAAAAGAACGTCGGATCTCGGCTCCTTGACAAGTGAATTGATAAGGTAAAATCAGATCTGCGTACATGATTTATAATTCCCGACCGCTGCGTTCGCGCCTCGGGTTCCTGTGATTTTTTTTGACACTTTTTGGCACAGCTCGCGCCCCCTGCCGGTTATCACAATCGCAGATTTATCCCCGCATTCAAACCTCTAACAATACAAGATGTATTTTATAATATTTTCATAAGAATTTTTTATCTGTGGCCACAATTTAATTATTCTCCAAGAAAAACATTTTTCATATCACTGGTCTATCTTACTTTCAAGTTGTTTTAAACTATAATTGCCGTGAGATTAAGCAATCATTGGAGTTCACCAATATATCTCTCACATCAAAGGCCTTAAGCAATCTATACTATTATAATAAAGCGTAAACACTCACTTCTTTGTTGCCTAAGATGTCAGCAATTACAGCATATTCTTGAATAACTTCTTTTTTATTAAAAAGCCCTACACTTAAGTCACGCTTTGGGCTTTATATTATCATGCAATTAAACTTAGGGGGTAAATATTTTGGATAAAAACCCTAATGTGGGAAAGAGACCATAAGTTGTTGCCAACGTCAAGGAAGCAAGATTGTCAAAGTTTGTGATGTCATGTCGTTTTGACATTTGCTATTGATAATTTGACAAATGTAAACAATAATTTTTTTTTTGTAATTTCATGCGGATGAAGTCGCACGGGAACAGTTAGTTACTATAGAAAGCAAGCGAATTACGCCGTGATACGCTAGAGGGCGCTGAAAGTTCAACAAATCACATCACGAGAATATTAAACCAAGTTTTCAGTTTAATCTAATTATTTCCGTTATTTTTCATTGCTAACACTTTTCTTGATTAAAATTAATCATACCCTAGATTTTTGTGCATGATTTATCTTTTGATTTGCAATTTAAACCTTATGCTGTTGTAATAAGAATGTCGTGGTATAATTTTCAAGGGCCCCTTGAGTCTCCATCAAGGTTGCAGCGATAAATTACCAAAGTATAATTGATCGCCAAGAATAACCGCCACATCAATTGATTTATAGACACTTTCAAGAAATGAATTAAAGCTTTCTTGTACGGAATTATTATGCATATTTACTCCCACATAAATAAATATATAGGATTATAAAAAACGTAGTTGACAAAAACAAAAGACAATCCAATAGCTAATTAATAACAAAGTGTTAGTTTGACGGAGGACAGGACATAGGGAGGGAAATTACCTTCTATCTTTACGTCCCTTCCGTCAGTAGGCAATATGCAATTGTAGAGGTCTAAGTTCAGTGGTCGATTCGCGCTTTTTGCGAAACTTTAAAAAATAGGATTTAAGTAAAAATAATTAATTAAATTAATTAATTTATTTATTATAAACGTCTATATTGTATAGCTTTTCTATAACCAAAACCAATAATTTTTTACAGTTTCAGTTTAGATTTTGGACATTAGCATACATACTATTGCGTTCAGTACATATTGAAAAGTATGAAAAACTAGCTGTCGCCCACGACTCCGTACGCGTGATAAAATACACAACTGAGTACCTTATGTGTTCTCCCAAACTATCAACGTCTATGCCAAATTTCATCGAGATCCGTTCAGCCGTTTAGGCTACAAACTAACAAACATCCATCAAAACTTTCGCATTTATAACATTAATAAGATAGTATGATTTCACGAACTCGTTAACATTCATACGAATTATCTAACCTTCAAAATAATAAACATGAACAAGTGAATATCGTTAATATTTACGACGCAATAGATATATGAATTAAGTGAAAGGAGTACATTATGTGTTAAATATTTTTTTTTTACAATATAACGTAATCCTCAAGTTTTATAACATACTAGCTTTCGCCCGCGATTTCGTCCGCGTGGAATTAAAAAAGTAAACGAGTAGCATATGTGTTCTTCCAGACTATCCTCTACATCTATACCAAATTTCATCAAAATACGTTCAGCCGTTTAGGCCACAAACTCTAACAAACATCCATCCATCCATCTTAATCAACTTTCGCATTTATAATATTAGTATGACTAGCTTTCGCCCGGGACTTCGTCCGCGTTGATTTAAAAAAAAATCAAAAGTGAGTAGCCTGTGTGTTCTTCCAGACCATCCTCTACATCTATGAAAAATTTCATCAAAATACGTTCAGCCGTTTAGGCCACAACCTCTAACAAACATCCATCCATCTAAACTTTCGCATTTATAATATTAGTATGATTAATATTTCAGTGTTCACTCGTGGACGTCTCAGTCCCCTTATAAGTATTTCTTTAATATTTTCATATCTATTTAACATTCTTTGATTCTCTAGGGAGAGTTTGTTGCAAATCCACATTATTGGCGACATATGCCTAAATAATGTTGCTATTCGAATGCACTGGTATACAATATGCGCATATTTTAAAAGCTCGATACAAATAATGTATATTTTTGAATTTACATGCTAAAATTCTGACAATCCATATAATATCAATAACAAACATTATTATCAGAAAGATCGCAGCTCACTCTTTCATTTTATTGCATCGCTAAAATTTCACGGTCTTTAATCAGATAAACGAAAATACAGAGAAAAATAAAAACATTTCAACAATACTTAGCAACAAATAATAAATATAAACGTTCCACGAAATACGTTTGAAGGGTCTGAATATATCAGAAACAAAAAAGAACTAATTTTCTACATTGTAAGTGGTTCTGGGTTGGGTATCAGAATAAAATTAATAAGATAAAGACACTCCCTAATAATAATATATACAATATTCAATCAATCTTTGATCAATAAATCTTTTGTCCGTAAATTACATATGACAAATTAATGTACCATTGTCTATACTAATATTA